GTAATATATTTTTATATTATATAATAGAAAAAAATTAAAAATTTCAAACTATATGATTACAGTTACAATCACGACTTCCAAAAATTAGGATTCTGCTGTAACCGCCTCTCAAAGGTCTCATACCAGCCCTGTAAAGTAGACAAAGGCACAAAGTTCTCAGTAGGATTTGGTGTCATTTGCGCTTGTGTCACTGTAAAACTGGTTACATAATTCACAAAACTTGTCAACATCTTTTGTACGAATTCCATGAAAGAATTAGTTGTAGTTGCAGCAACGGCAGCTATCTGTTGCTCAATCACTATCAATGGTTCAACTGACACACCGATCTGTGCAAAATGTGAAATCTTACCAACCCCAAAAATCCCTAAATTGCTATTCACAAATTCATGATTTTTCTTCAAATTCGATATCTTGAAGATGGCCGATGGCTTAGAATTGGAAATATATCCAAGAAATTGCCAATTAGGTGGTGCATTTGGATCTGGCCAACTAAAGTATACTATAAACAATGATTTTTCAATAATCAATTTTAACATTTAGGATATCTGCATAGTTTATATGCAAAACTAATTCATTGCTTTATGTCAAAATTAATTCTCTATCTTACCTGCACCTCCCATACCATCTAGAAAAGGAATAATACCAGTCAGAAACACCACTATATGGTTTATATTGTCAGCATCAGGTATAGTAATCAAGAATTGATTCTCACCAACTTGTTGAAAGTCAGTTTGGACCTAAAAAATAAAAATTATGTTTCTGTAAAATTATATATAGATAAATGTTAATAGATGTCAAAAGTGTTTAGTAATTTACCAGGGAGATGAATTATTAACACTGGAATCCTATGCCTAAGAGAAATAAAATATTCATCTCCCAAAGTAAAACGTTAAAACATTCGTTTATGGTTTACCATGGATGTGTTCACTTAACGTTTGCAGTGATAACACGCGTTATTTTATCCTCGTCCAATATTTCATAACAATAAGAATGAAAAGATACTTGTAAGCGTTGCAAACATTAAGTAAAACATTAAGATTTATCTATAAAAATAAAATACACTACTAAATCTATAATGTAAAATTTAATCTAATGTGAAAAAGTTACTATTCTGTTCTACTAAATATATTGTTATTTTATAATGAAAAACTAATTAAATTTGATATTATATTATGTCAATTTGATATTATACTAAAACAATGGTGTCGAATTCACACTGTATAGTGTCAAATATAATTGATTTAGTACAAAAAATAATGATATAATTGAGTAGAATAGAAAATCCTAGAGGTTCTATAGAGTAGGAACTATGACGACTCATATTAGGTTAAATTTGACACTATAGATTTAAAAGTGTAAGGGGCTATGCAGAATAAAAGGAACAGGGAACAGAAAACAGAGAATAAGAATTTCAACCTATCAGAAATCATATACTGTAGAATAAACAGTGTGTATTCCATAGTACATAATTTCTGATAAGTTGAAATTCTTATTCTCTGTTCTCTGTTCCTTTTATTCTACGTAGCCCTAAGAAAGGAACAAGAGAAATATACTTAAAATAATGTTTACGTAATTTCTGTTCAGTGATCAGTTCACACTTCTCTCCTAATAGACTCTCTTGAAGTACGTTCCGTTTCGCGCATGATACGCATGATGCCTCAATTGTTCTTGTTTAACATTTGTTGAGCAACAACGATGCATTATATGCAACATGCGAAAACAGAACGCATCCTAGATTGAACGGATAAATATGTTCTCTCTCCCTCTCTCCCCCTCTCCCTCCCTCTGCTTAACAGAATAAGTTTAAAGAATAAATAGAATAAAGCAAATAAGTAGAACAGAAAAATACCGTAATTTTTACGATTTTCGTTTTACTAATAAAAAAAACCGGAACACTCATTGATATTTATTATCGAAAAAAAACCTTTTAATTTCCCTGCTTGCTGGTGCTAAGCAAGTACAGTAACATCATATAGTACCTCCCTAATGCAATTCGATAAGAATGTCATCTCTTTTGTTCTATTGTATTATAATATCCTAATCGATAAACTCATTTGCTTTTCCATTGCTTTTAAAAAAAAAGTAAATTTCAATTAGGTTTTATTGAGTATTCAAATCTTTCGATAAATAATAATTACAATTCTAATTTCATAATTCTATTTACATTCATACTTTAATATGTATTTTAACAATTTTATTTCTTATTTTTATTATTAATTTTTTTAATCAGTAAATATAATTTTGTTTGTTTGCTAGCGCTAACTGTTATTTATGGTTATTCATGGGAGGAGTAACTTATAAAAAACAGAATTTTATTATTAGATATTAGGTGTTCTATTGGTTTCTAATTTTCTGATCAATGAGGAAAAAACCATTACAATATCAAGGATTCTCATGGGGAAAAAGGTATCGGACCATCTTGTCATACGCATGCATCTTAAATTTGTTATTGCTTAAAATTTCTAGAAAATTAAAGGTAAAAATTTGATCATTAGTTTAATATTGATGATGACCAATTATATAAGTTGATTGTTGTTATATTTGTGACTTTGATATTAATTTTAATTTACTTAATTATACAGTAGCAAAAATATCCAGCTTGGATAATTATTAGATCTATTTTTTTTATATATTTAAATTTTGTTTATAAGAATCTAATTAATACTTATTTTATTTCAAATTTTAAAATTAATAATTATTCCGTACATTTCCTTTTTATACATACTAATCTTATTAACATAAATTGATAAAGAATTAAACCAATTTCAATTAAGTTTAACTAATGTTTGTAATAGAAACAATTATATATAAGTTATTGTCGTTATTGTTGAATTTATAAAATAATGTTAATTCAGCACATTACTAAGACGCAAATATTTACAGCAAGATTACTAAAAGTAGAGTTAAATTTCTTGAAAAAGTAAAAACTTGATCCATAATAACTGAAATTTTTAGAGTATTTAATTCTTGTACTAAAAAATTATATAAATAAAATTAATTCAAAATCATTATAAAATTTTCTATTACAAAAACGGAGTAATTGAAAATAATATAGTAATTTTATTGTAATACCTTGCCAGCTTAATAAGATAGAAACTTTTAAAATAAACAGGGAATGGAAGAGTTACTTTTACAGTTACTCTCTTCTCTTTTTATAACAATGTGATAACAATGTTGTAATTTTTTATGACTGTAATGATAACTAAACGCTTAAAATTATTAAATTATAAAAAATTGCAACATTGTTACCACATTGTTATAAAAAGTAACTGTAAAAGTAACTCTTCCATTCCCTAAATAAACAATATTCAGTACTAAAGACTGTTAATGTGGAAACACAACCAATATAGATACAAAGCCTATAATAGTCTAGCTTATGTTAGATCTTTTTATCGCTTACATATAAACTACGGTACTGTCACGAATTAATTAATAATTAAGTAATATACGTAGTCCCCCCAAATTGCTCATCGAACAATCGTCGATCTTGAAACGCAACTCTAATAATCTTGAAAATACTAAATCTGGAAAATTATTCATATTGCGAAAAATATTACCTCGGCCGGGAGTCAAACCCGGATACCTTGCTTTACGCACGAGTGTTCTTTTAAAATAAAGAATATGTTTCACATAATTGATTAAATACTAACAATTACAAGAAATAATAAAAATATAATTTGATACTTACGAGTCGTCCAGCTACTATTATACCAAGCATTTTTGCTGACACATCTAGATTATTCTATTGTATCCCGTTTATTACACAGAACAGTGATGCGATTTCCAACTCGCTTGCCCAACACTGCGTGTCTGACGCCAACGATGATTCGCTGAAGGCGAAATGGAAAGGCGGGAAAATGCTTATTCGGCAGTGAAAGATTAATCACTGAATCTGTCTCAAGTTTAAAGATAATTTATTACTGACTCAAATGAATATACTAACACGCGTAGACGTGACGCGTGTGCAAATGACATCAATAGCTGCGTTCGGTAGAGCAAATCAGAGAAGTGCTCTCATATTATAGCATATGTCACGTACACTATAGAAAAAGAGCACTCCGACGCCTCAGATTTGCATTACCGAACGCAGCTAATAATAACAGTATCGCAAGACCGGCTATGACACAGAGAACTTAGAAACTAATGATAAGATTATTGTCTAACGACATGAACAATTAAGATCTCGCGACGTAACTTAAAAAGAAAAATAATACATCTTTACAAAGCGCTACTTACAATTTATCGCCGTGTATTATAAAAGGTACGCATGACGCACGCAATATGCTATTGGCAATGCATTCTCTGTGGCGCTCCTAGTGGCGGCCGGTAGAAGCTTCGCTAAGACCAACGACGTCATTGAGTCAGACACATTGAGGCTGTCTTCCCATAGTCCCTTTGCCAGTCAGTAAAATAATATTACTAGGATGACGTCATCCTACTGACTGGAGCAGTGTTCCCATTCTCGCTAGTAAAAAGTGACGTCAGGATTTGTTGCGTTTCTATGCTTTACGCTTTCTACAGTTTTCGTTTCATATTACAGTTTCATTTCATATTTTCGTCATCAGTGATCTTCATTGAATAGATAAGTAAATAATATATATTCCATGTAGCAATGTTTACTTGCAACTCTGTAATATTTGGATACCGGAACGAAATCGTTGTCTAACCTCTTTAGTCGCCGGGGTCAATTATTTTAAGACATGGGTACCGAAATATTACAGAGTTGCAAGTAAACATTGCTACATGGAATATATATTATTTACTTACCTATTCAATGAAGATCACTGATGACGAAAATATGAAATCAAACTGTAATATGAAACGAAAACTGTAGAAAGCATAGGGCATAGAAACGCAACAAATCCTGACGTCACTTTTTACTGGCGAGAATGGGAACACTTCTCCAGTCAGTAAGATGACGTCACCCTAGTAATATTATTTTACTGACTGGCAAAGGGACTATGGGAAGACAGCCT